ATATGCTTCATTTGTATCTGTCATTCTAGGGTGGTTTTGTCATTGCACAGTTGCAAATGTTAACAAAAGCAGTACTTTTTCCATTTTGGAGTCAGCGATACCAAACTATATAAAAGAAATCTGCTTAGTCACTGCACAAACTTTACATTCACAGCAGCTTAATTACCACATGCTGATTTGGGTAGTGAATTTAAATGGACTAAAAGTCACGGACAGTCACCACCACTAGTCAGGTTCTGGAGAGGACCCATTGCCTGTCTCATGGGAGAGCGTGAGGCCAGTTCTGCTTAAGAGAAGCCAGGGAGATTGTCTGTCAAATATTTTCAGCAAAGTCTCAAGTTATTTGTGGTCATTGAGATTTGGCATAACTCAAGCTAACTTTGGGTTCCTGAATGAGTCGACCTGCTTTGTAAAGACAGTTTTTATATCATTTCTACTTAAACAGATGAGTATAGTATATGTACTATACACTCTCCAGTTACAGAAACCGTCATTAGGCTCTTAGCTGCTTTAATGTGGAGAGAGAGGATGGAAATTGGTTACATATAGGCATCTTGTATTTATGGGATTGGAAGTCTACTCGGGGACAAGATTTGACTTTGCTACAGGAATGGCTGCCAGATAACATTTAATTGTGAATTGAAGTCTCTATTATTTTTCTAAACCATAGAATCATGCATAACTGTTCTGCCCAGCTTTGTCTTCTTACAATGAAAGTGATTCTACTGTCTGTGTTTGGGTCTGGCATATACATTGTCAGCTCTATATACAGTTTCCTCTGATGTACAGTAAATTTCTATCCAGGAGAATGAAAAGTGATTATTTTTTTGGTGAAACGGTGCTGGATTCTCTCTGGATTCCTAAAAAGCTGCAATTTCTAGTGTAGCTGTATGTTTGATTTGGTTGTACAGCAAATTAGATATCTTTAAAAATGCTATGCTTAGTAGATTTCAAAGCTCTACCCGTTTATATTTGTGTGAGAATAAGAAAGCTCCAGGTGAAAGACACCAGTTGACTTAATAGGGAGAAACACAGAGGACAGTAAGAGCTATATTATAAACAGAAGGTGCCATGATGGTAAGCCCAAATCATGTCCGGTGATCAGATGAATGAGATATACGTAGATGAAGAAGCTACTGTGTTTGTGAAGAAACTGGACAGAACAGCCTGGATTAGTCTCGGTGTGGAATTTATTTACCTTAAATAATTAGATAATGATTTACAGGTCTTCATGTATGCTCCCCTTCTCGTACCATGTGTGACCCCAAACTCACTAAGCCAAAAGGTTACTGCTGTCTCTACATCACAGCTGGACAGCAGCTTGTGGTCACAGCATCTACAGTATGTGAGATGGGAGAAGAGAAATGAGCCTTAAGCCTAATTTGGTATACGTACCAGGTACCAAAC